CCTATAAATATATTAAAAAAAATTATATAAGACTCTTCTTATTAGGTGTACCTTTGCTAAAAACTTTACATCATATATGTGTTGTAAAAATATGGAATGACACAAAATAGAATTCCCATTTTTTTACTAAAAGTCTATGTAGAATAATGTTTTCATACTTCCTTGACATAGATCATCAATTCTGGACCAATTCCAGAACCAGGCAGAAGAGTGACTGTATGCCTTCCACCGTAATGTGCTTTTGGTATGGGCATCACTTTTTTAATAGTCGGAGTTTTATGTTGTATTTCAAATCCAGACAGTGAAGCACATCTATGAATTTGAAGTACGACAGTCCTTGGACGTAAATATTTAACGACGGACCGAGCAGCCATGTCGAATATTATTCTACAAATTACATAAAAGGCGTAAATTGAATATCAATATCTGGTATTTGACATTAACAAATTTAGTGGTCGTTAGTTTATATTGCATTCTACTACTTTGCAAATATTCTATTTTAACAATACCTTGAAAGTCCTTGCCAACTACGAATTTTCAGCGCCGTTTAAACTATAACTTTCGTAGAATGAAAAATCAGCTTTATAATTTAAAATAATAGCGCCATCTATAAGAATAACATACAACATCACATTTTTATATTTATAGCAGAGTTTATAGTATTCTTAATAATAATAATCTAATTGTTAATACAAGCTATTCTTCATATTATTTCTCGATTTATAATTATGTATTCAATTTTCTCCAAGCATTAATGTTATAAATTTCGAAATTATTGTTCAAGCAATTATAATATAATATATATATACATTAAGGAGAAGTAATATGCATTTTAAAGGCAATGTATTTTACATATAAATACTGGGTTTGTAAAATATTCTTCTTCGTAAAGTAATGAACCAATAGGTCCTTAAAAGAAATTTAACGTACAAATACTTTGAATTGATAGGTCCTGAGATCCCAACAAAGAACCGTTTGATTGTCTTTTATTGTTATTTTAATAGAACGATGTATATTTATAATTTTAAATTGATTATTGCTTATTTAAATATTAAAGGATATAAGATACCTTAAAAGTTTGTAAGTTGTATAGTACAAAGCGCGTTATAATACAATATAAATCAAAGGAGAATAAATTTATCAAATCTGGCGTTTTGCATTGTGCATTGTTCATTGTTCTGAAATGTTGGCTACCCTGATATTTTAAGCGGCAACATGCTACCTGCTAACAAGACTACAAAGACGCCAGAGCATCAAAAAACACGCCGCGTCGTTCTTGTTCGTGTCTCACAAAGATTGTAGTTATTATCCAAGTAAGTACAATAATTAAAAATTCTGACTATACATGTGCACATAGAGCATTAGTAAATGTTAGCTTAAATGTTTGTTATTTACCATCCAATTTTCATATTAATTGAAGAAATAAAATCTGCTTCCCGGCTGCATACCGCCATTTTGCATTGTGTCCGTTACTCTTGACACTTTCGAAGGTCTTTTCTTTTAATTTCATCTCATAACGATAATAATACGTATTTATTGCTATATCATATCATATTTTCTGTTGCTTCAAATTTATATTCAATCGATTCTTTATTCTGATTCAACAAATAGTAAATGTAACAACGTTTTTTCGATCATCTAATTTCGTAGTCGTCATTCGAATATCTTTTGTTATATCGTAAAATACTTACTATAGTCATAAAATGTATTATATAGAATGAGCAAAGGAAAAGAACCATCACCTGCGGAAGCTGAAGGAGAAGAGGAATTCAGCGTTGAAAAAGTTTTGGACAGGAGAGTAGTCAAAGGAAAAGTATGTACAGAACTTTCCAAACCGAGTGTAAGGGAACATCGTTTGGTTGTTACTAATCACTTATTATAAATTAGGTTGAATACTTTTTAAAGTGGAAAGGCTACTCTAATGAAGATAATACATGGGAACCAGAAGAGAATCTTGATTGTCCAGATTTAATTGCACAATTTGAGGAACAACGTAAGAAAAAAGAAGCTGCAGGTGGAAAACGACATGAAGATAAGGAACAGAAAAAGCGAAAAAGCTCACTTGGCCCAGCATCTACTCACCCAAAGAAAAAGATAACTGAAGACAAGAAACCTGAAGGTACATTTTTCAAAAATATATTTAACATATTTGCAAATGCGTGTCATATATGAATAACACAAAGATATTCTGACAGCCCTGTGTCACGTACATATGTGTGACGTAATTGTATTAATATATTTCATATATTTGATTTAATTCAGAGCAAAAAAACATTTGTGTAAAAATTGTATAAGTAACGAAGATGTTATAAGAAAGACACAGTCCACGGAGGACATTTCGAATTCGACCGTAGTCGCGAACATATTAAATAATGTGTAGAGAATGTTTTATTAACTGTTTTTTATTTTATCCAGGATTTGATAGAAATTTAGAACCTGAACGTATTATTGGAGCAACAGACTCAAGTGGAGAGTTGATGTTTCTAATGAAATGGAAAGGAACAGATGATGCAGATTTAGTTCCTGCTCGAATTGCTAACGAAAAATGTCCTCAGATCGTGATAAAATTTTATGAAGAACGACTAACGTGGCATAGCCCGACCCATGACGAGGAAAGTTCAACAAAAGCTGACGCAGAGTAGCGTTCAGCCTTCCGATACATGTATACAGCACGCTTTAGAATTTGCCGCATATAGCAAAAATATAGTGCGTACAAGATGAAACGAGGACTATTAAAACTGGATGCACAGTATATTATAAATTTAAACATTGCTGATGATTAATAGTAAAATCAAATAAGAAAACAAAACTTATTTTACATACTTAGCAACAAAGGAAAGTGATTACTCTTGCATTACATTATCATGAAAATACACGTACGTTTTTGTTTGTAACTATTATTCCCTTCACACAAGTATTAACACAAAATGTTTTGCTACAATTGCTGTGTAGGGAGATTATTAATTCATATATTTAAATTATACATTCAATCATACTTAAATGATCTCTACATAGCAAATGTGGTAACAAATTTTGTTAGAACTAACATTGCTACTATATGTGTTAGAATAAAAAATTTGGTTACAATTAACATTGTTCTAATTGCATACATGCCGTGTTTTCATTCAAAACTATTGTAATTCATCTCCCAGCCCGTATAGGATGTGATTTAGTTGTAAACAATGTCAGTTCTAACATTATTCTAATACGCGCCATTTGATAATTATACAAATAGTTTAAATAAAACTAATATTATGATAGAAATAATTTGTCTTTAATAGAACAGAACAAACATGTCCTCAGGTCTTTTTTTAATTAAATTTTTGTAAGAAAACTAAGTGTGTAAATTAAATGACAATTTAAGCTTTCCCACAACACTCAATACCAATAATATATTTTTGTGTCGTATAAATATTCACTATTGCTTCGTTAATGGTTAAGATGGCATGAATCTGAAGCGTTTTTAGTATGTAAGTATATATATTTGTGTAGTTTATTAATTTGTACGGAGTATTAATTAAACAATTTCTTTTTTCTATACTTTATGAAATGTCTTGATTCTATAAAAATCCCCATTGAAACATATCAAAATAGTTTAGAACATACTTTTATTATCAACGCTTCGTCTTCTTTACATTTTTTTTAAAAATCTTCTGACCTTTACGTTTATTTCTGAAAGGGCCCTTCAGTTTCTGATTTCGTTTCATTTCCCATTCTATTTGTTTGGAACTCGCACCGTCAGCGGTGTTGACAGCATTTGTACCACCAGATTTATGCTTCTGCTTACTATGTTCCTCCAACATTTCTGCGAATTTCTCAGCTGATACAAATATGTTATTGTCAATGCCTTTTGTTTTATTTTTCTTATTCCCTTTGTCATTCAGTTTGTCTATTTGTTGCTTTATACTCGATTGAAGGCTATCATCCAAAATATCTTCATCGTCATTGAGGTCATCATTAAAATCTATATCACTCATATCGTCATCTAAATCACTCAAGTTTTCTAAATCCGCATCTACGTCATCGTTTTCTCCCAAATCATCTTCTGAATCATCCATAGCATCAAAATCGTTACTTGCTTCACTTCTGTCACTATCATCTGCTAAATCTTCATCTTCATCCTTTTCTTTTGTATCTATAATTAAATATAATGAACATTTAAGATATTAGCACAGTTTATTTAAAAAATGATTTGTAGTTTTTAAATGTTAACAGGACTCATTGTACCTTTTCTCTTGCTTCCAGTCTGAATATCGCCCGCAATATCTAAATCTTCAAAATCTTTTCCATCCGTTAATCTATCTAACATATCGTTAAATTCTTCACTGTTAACACTTTCTAGGTCATCTTCAGTTTTAGACGGATGCTTGAATTCCTTTCTCCTTTTTAGATATCGATACAAATATAATTCATCAACGGGAATACGGTCTTCTTTCTCATTAAGATAAGAAGCACTATCAACTGGAATGCACCTAATACCCTTAGGTGTATATCCTGCGCGCTGTGCCAAAGGATCATTCTTTCTCTGTACTTTCTTCTCCTCCAATTTCTTTGGATTTTTAAAAACGTAACGATCTAGGAAACGCATTAAAGATAGATCTTCTAATGGATCGCCTGTATAATCTATTGGCTTCCCTAGATCACAAGAATAATTTATATAATTATATGTAAGTGCAATATATGGCTACACAATGTTTGTAGTGTCAAATATAATACCTTCAATGATAGTGTTTGCAAATAATGCAACACTTGGATGGTAATGTTTAAACAACGCTACCAATTCAGTATTTAAATCTTTACTTATTCCAGCATACGTAGGATTGCGGCAAAAAGGATCATACTCCTTTTGTGTATTAAAATCAACTTTTGTATCATTTTCAGATGTTATTTCAGACTTCGTATCCTCATTCATAGTAGGTACAGTTACAACATTTGTCAATAAGATGGTATCTTCTATGGTGGACGTATCATGAGGTGAATCTGAATTTTCCGAATTTATTGAACTATTTGTTAATTCGGAATGTTCATTCTTAGCTTTAATATAATCTTGCGGTTTCAGTAATAAAGTTTTTAGCTCTTTATGTGTATGTAAAACTTTCGATATTACATATAAAGTAGCGCATGCCATATTTGCAGGAAAATAAAGCATAATTTGTAAACTCCTTTTAATAAAAGCATATAACCGTGACTTATTACGGTCATTTTTAAGAACTCTAAACAATAGATTAAAAAACAGTGCACGTTTGTTTGTTACTACAATTTGTGGATCCAATAACTTTCGATAAAAGGCAGAATAAAATCTGCTTGACTGGACTTCGTCTTTACCTGTAATCTATAAGAATACCATGAAAGCAAAAACTGAAAAATGCACGCATATAACAATTTATCTACTTACTTGATATAATAAATTGAGTGCATTTAAAGAAACATTAAAAGATCCAATATGTACAACTTTGTACACTGATTCTATATGATCATTTAATATACTTGAATCCATTTTTGCAAACGGATATGCTCTATTTACACCAGTTAAAATTGCTGCCATCATTCTGCTATCTGGTTCCCCCTTCTTTAAGCAAGCTTTAAAAAATGCGAAGTAAACTTCAATAAGCGTAGAAGCAATTTTTTCATCTTCTCTGTTTAAAACAAACTGTGTCAATAAGCAAATTGCATAATACTGTGCTCGTTGTGCTACATTTTTTCTGAATAATAATTTTTCAACTTCTTTCAACACGACAAGTTTCATGTTGGGATGTTCGTGTAATAATTTATTCAAGCAGAATATAACTTTCGATCCTATCTTGCTACTTGGATCTCCTATTTTATTTACAATTAATTCTAACAACTTATGTTCTTGTTCAGCATTTCCTATTAGCAGCTCTGTCATAGTTGCTATTGCCAATTCTCGATTTGCGTCTACTGTGTCAGATGCAATAGCAGCTAAAGACATTACGAAACGTTCATAATGTTCACGTAATTGGTCTTCGAAATACCAATGAGCCATAAGCTTTTTCCGTGAGGCGTCTAACTTAACAAGTGTATCTTCAGATTTAGATTTATCAACTTCATCTAAATTTTGTTCCTCAAATTTAAGTAGCTTAAATTCAGGATGAAGCAGATCTGATAAGAACAAGTCTTTTAAAGACTTTATTATCATGCTGCACTGATTATGTTTCGCAACTTTTACTTGATTTATAAGCATAGTCAATCTCGCCAAATTATATTTTGGATTATCCTGTATTAATACTATGCCAGCTGCTACTTTGTCCGATGTCGTCCCCTGTGACAGTGCTGTTTTTAACCATGCTGTTTCTGAATCATTAGACTTTGACTGTTTCAACTGAAACATAGAAGTCTCTCCATTTAAATATCTCTTTGCTTCATCTTTTAAGTTTGATATTTCCGTTTCAGATCTAGAATGTTTTAATGGTTCTTCTCCTTTAGGAAATTCTTCGTACCATTTGTTACTTTTTGTTTTTGATTCATTAAATCCTTTCTTCATCTTATTAAAGATTTGGACGTCTATGTAAAGAAAGAATGTCACAAAATACATACGATTTTAAAAGATGTGCTTTCCTCGTGGTTAACCTTAGTTGTACAAGCAATACAAACCTGTCACAGAAATTAAAGTTTGATGCAAGTCTTACTATAATACATAAAACTGTTTACTATATAAGTATTTATTAACATTTACTTCTTTTATGTGACGTATTTCACTATTGTATTATGCGCTTTGTAAGCAGAGAGAAAATTGTATCTCTGTTATAAGCCCAATATCCAACGTGCTACTGAATCACTATAGTATAGCCAGGTATACTGTGGTATAGCCATCTATTTGCTATTCGATTTAAACATTTATATTTTCAAACTCTCAATGTCTTTTGGATTGGTATTTATATATTAAATAATTATAAATATTTATTCATTAATATAACACTGATGCCTTATCTTAAGGTTTTTATTTTATACATTTCAAAGCTGTACAAACTTTTCGATACATGATTTTGTAAATGTTTATATAAAAATAATAATATTAATCTAATTGTTTCGTATATTAAGCATCTTGCATATGCTTTCTCCTTTTCACTTTATTACTATCTGGTATACCCTTATGCGTTCTCTTTTTAGAAGGCTTGGGACTAGTCTCTGTAATTTCAGAATCTCCATTCTGAAGTGGCATATCCCCATTTGATTCGTTACATGAAACGAAAGAGCTAAAATTGAATGGTTCGAAACCTTCAGAAATCGTTTTCTCACGCAGCATCCGTGCTTCCTTTTTTAATTGTCGTTTGTCTTTTTGTTTTCTTTTATTCTTTTTCTTCACTGCATTCTCCTCCAATTCAGTATCATATGAGTCATTTTGTACATCTTCATTTTCCTCTGTATTATCTGACTGTCTGAAATTGTCTATACCATTCTGTGTTTCTTCATTGACCGTAGCATTCTGTACGTTTTTCCTTTTTTTTGTTTTTAATTCTAAATTATCTTTTCCGCTGTTTGCACCTCCATGTCCATTGATCGTAGTATTTTGTACGTGTTTAATTTTTTTCGATAATCTGAGAGAATAAAATAAGTTAGAAGAGTAAATATGAAGCAATAAAATTTTAGTATTCTAAATTTTTCTGAATTAATACTTACGCATTATGTAGAATTCCAATCTGTACTGCTAGCCTATTATATGCTGTCTTTGTATCTTTTGCAAGAGACACATTATTTCTATATGTTTTGAGTGCATTTGCAACATCATTCCAATTCCATGCTTGTGGTAAATGATGCAGATAAACACTTCTTAACAACGTTAAAAGTGAGCAAATATATCTTTGCCTAACTTCTTTCCCTATTTCATTACCATTGCTTGTATTAATTTGCTGATTCTTTACTTTATGTACATTAGACAATTCTTCAAGTGTGTTAATAGTGTGCTTGGATAACTTTCTTTCCATTTCCATTCTTATATCAGAATGTTCCGTATCTAAATGTACTAACCGACTGTTATTGTAGAAAAGTATTAAAAATTCGAGCGCATATCCCCGCCGGAAAGATCTTACGCTACTATCAAATGCGAAGTCCACCTATAAGAATAAGGAATTGTTATTTGGGGCATGACAGATTTCTTATCGTAATAAAATTTCAGGATGTACCAGCAAAGGTGTTAATTGCCAGTTTCCTTCCCACTGTAATTGTAAGATACTTCTGAACAACAAAGGCGACAGCACACAGTCTCTTCTTTTAAAGAAGGCTGTCAAATTTTCTCCATAAATTTGAACTATAGTCTCTGTAGATACATCAGCTTGCTGTGCACACCTCACAAGGAATGTGCAACATTCTGCTAATTTATCACTCATTTCATGGTAAACTGACGTAGTTCTTTCTCCTTTCTCCATTAATGACTTAAAAAGATGAAAGTTCGAATTACTTAATATGAAATATAATATCATTATTTAACCGCCAAACTATATTATTCATATGACACATACCCTTAATATTACTGTCAATAATTCTTCATCAACATTATTTGTATCTCTAAATTTCTTTACTGCTGATAATGTTTTTAAACAAGATCGGACTCGATCTAAGAGTGGTTTCTGATGAGGATCCTTTATGCAGTATTCCAATAATGCAAAAAGAGGAAGTATCATATCAAGTACAACAGCCATTGACGAAGAAGATTCTAAGTAAGTTTCTAATAAATCTATGACTCGAACTCGAAAATGTGTTAGAGCTTGAGCTGATTTTTCTTGCTTTTTAGATCGTGATTGACGATTTTCTCGAAGAATCCTAAACGCTGCCGCTAATGATTCGTCTAATCGCTTCCCTTCTTCTTCGTTAATATCGTCAACGTCTACATCTTCATCGTCAGTTTGAGCAGAAGCATCACCAAGTGCTTGACGTACTGCCATTCGTAGCCTGTCAGTTATAGTTTCATCTTCATCTTCGTTCATTGATTCCTCATTTGAATCAGAGTCACTGTCTGAAGAAGTTTCCGTTTCATAACTTTCATTAATATCCTCATCGTTAATATCAGAATTTGATTCGCTACACGAACTATTTTCTTCGTCGTCTTCTTCTTCAGAGTCAGAGTCATCGAGACCATTCTTTACAAGTGGTCCTTTTTCATTTCTTACATCTAGCACCTAGAAACGAAGATTTTGGAACAGGATGTTTGTCGATTTTTTACTTTTATTCAATACTTACCGCCAATATTTGATGTATAGCAGTTGGTGTCACGTAAGGACATATATGTGGAAAAACGCATCCAACTAATGACCGTAATAAATGACTATTCTTTGAATAAAAAGACAATAATAAATCAACAACTACTTCTACCCATTCTGGTTCGTCTTTTTCTTTCTTAATACCCGTCTTAGCTTTTCCCGATTTTTTTAACAGCCTCTCATAACAACTTTGTAATTCATCAATGGCTGTAATTGCCATTGATGGATCAGAAAATAATTGTAAGCCCATGTGTAAATTCATTGTGTGAAAAACTGGTACTGCTTCTATCTTTTTTGAGTTCTTTTCTAATTTTTCAATTAAACGTATTACTTTTTCCCAAGATTTGCTTGCCTCATCCGTCAATGGACTTCGTAATTTCAAACTCTCATTTTTTATATGAATATTCAAAAAATGAACTATTTCACTTAATACATGCCGCAAATCGTCCAACTTCTGCAACTTGTGATCTAATGCACGATAAAATGTCTCCTTTAATTGTACTGAAAATTAACAAAATATAATTTAAAAAGGGCAAAAAATTAATTATGTAAAGTAAAATGTTAAGTACAGAAATAATATTTACGAGCAAGATCTATGCCAACATTTGGCATCTCACATAATCCATACATAAACAGGAATTTCAATTGATCTATTCTCCATTCCTTATCTTCAAGCATTTTAGGGTGACCCATTAATCTAATACACACAATAAATGAATTGTATATGTATATTTATGTTTAAATTTAATTTATTTCTTAAAATGTTAAATACCTTGTTAATAAATGAGCAGCATAAATTCTTTCAGCGTTTGTCCAAAACGATTCTGCTTTAGTATTTCGTTTCTCCTTGGAAGTACTATTTTCTATTATATCTCTATATATGTTTGATACTTTCTTAACACCATCGGAATTCATATTACCAGTAAGTATTTGTATTATTTTTATACCTGTCTTTTTCTCAATCATTAAATCACCTGGATACAATATTAATTTCTTTAATACCGTAATCTGTGTTTTTAGCTTAGTACTGTCACTATTTATAGCTGACACTAGCAAATTTAATACTTCTTTAAATCCGAGAAGTACTTCATCCTTATTATGTTTTTTAGATTCAGAGAATTTTTTCAACATATATTGCATGTAATTTGGTGACAATAACGATGGAATCATAGATTTATCTACAATATTTGATAACATGAATTTGAGTAGCTGTATAGCCAAATATTCATCAGGCTTCGATGGTCTTACAAATTGTTGGTCTACACACGACCAAAACTCAGTAACAAGTTTAGTTGATATTATATTCTCACAGAACAGCTTGAATATTGGATGGTGACATGATATGATTCTGGGTAAATCCTAGACATTAATAATACAAAAGTTTAAAAGACATATTTTACAGAAATATTTTGTGTAATGAAAAGGTCTTATAATTACACGTAATTTAAGTTATACTTACCAATAATACTTTCACTATATCACTCATAGATTGTTCCGTAATAATTCCTTTTGTACCAAAATATTTCTTTGAAAATTCATGATTCACAAGTGATGGACACTTATTCTTTACTACTAATAAAGTATAGAATGAATCCAATGTTTGCTCTGTCCATGGCTTACCAAACTCATTTTCAATAACTGGCCAGACTGACTTTTTAATACAATTAGAATCAACTTGATTTATAAACTCAATAAGAAATGAAGTAGAAACAAATGATAAATAACTACGCTGTTTGCCTGCATTAATAAGATCTTGCACAGTTTCTAACTGTTTTTCAACAGTACTATTTGAAAGTACTTTAGATCTTATTAATGCTCCGTACGCTAATATACGTCCCATATAGATATCAGCATTTTCCTAAAAATGATATAATGTTAAATATAGAATACTTATTAAAAGTTTTGTGAAATAAGAACTGTTTTCCTTACACTTTTACTGTTACTATTTACTGGATGTAATTCAGTATTCACTATAGATATAAATTTTTTTATAGATATTTCAGGGTTCAGCATTAAGAAAGTTGCTAAAGTTGTATAAGAACCTATTCTAGTTGTTTTCGAGCCACCTAAGCTTCGAATAAGTCTTTTCATACCATATTCAAATTCTTGATTATCATCTTGCTCCTAAAATATTGTCATTTATAATTATACTCCAAATAAAATAGTAATCATTCTTTACGTCTTACTAAAATTACTTATTCTTACAGGTTACCTTTAAATAAATACTTACTGAATTTTGTTGAATTAAATACTTTAAGAGGGCAATTCCAGCATCTGTTCTTTCAGATTCAGTTTCGCTCCTGAGCCTTGTAAAGCAATCAAGAATCGTGCCATTAACTGTGTTTGTTTCCTTCATTTTGCAATAATTTAAAACAACCTACACCATGTGCGCAGCTCAAACCTCAAAGTCAAACCTGGTCAAACCTACCATCTTTCATTTTTGAATGCATAGACTATATCAATCGATTGATCGTTTTTGCTAAAAATTGTATACTTTTGTTTAGACTTTTTGGACTCCTATATTTAATAACAAAATTTTTGTAAGAATATTATACANGTATAATTGTTTCGCAAAATATTGAAAGGATTCACTCGATACATACAAGTAACTGTCTTAAACTAAGGAACTTTACGTAAATATACGTGATTTAACAATTGTTTGGTGATTATTAGTGTGATTATATTAGAAAAGTGCCATCTTGAATATAGTACTAATATATATCGACCCGCGCGGTCCCGGTCAGTTTCGTGCATCCAATATGGCTGGTCGAAGTGGTTTCGAAGATTCAAGGCAAGTATAGGTTGAAATTTCAATAGTGAACGATAGTTATTAAGATTTTTTAAATTAGTGCACTGTTGTTAGGCAGTCGATACATCGATCCAATGTAGGGACGACTCGTTTCCTTGATAGTTTTACGATTTTAAGGTTAAGTGAGTTTCGATTAGAATGTAACGCAGCACCTTGCAGATATGGTGTCTCCGACACGCGGCTTTATTTTGGCCGGGCAAACAATGATGCACTTCATTCGTGATGTTATTAATGATGATATTATCTTGAATCATGTACGGCATATATACCTCCATTATTTAAAAATGATATTTCGTGCAATGCACAAAAATAACAACTTATATCTACATTATTTGTTAGAATGTGTACTTAAGAAAATTGGTGGCTGAATAAGCATCATAATCGCGAATTTCCGGATTTCTTATTACTATTACAAATTTAGTCTTTGAAAGCAAATACAATACTTATTTAATGGTATCTAATCTAATCTTAAAGTGTTTCCTATTATTTTTTTCCTTGGATGAGGTTAAGATAATGTAATACATAAAAGTGATGCCTCATTTTTTCGCAAGTACTAATAATGAAATATACATGTATATATATGTATATTATACTGTGTATGTGTAATATGTTTTTAAAGGATGAGTTATTCATAAAATTGGTTTGTACTTGCATATTGATAGAAATATTTTTTACTTTTGTACAGAGATCATGGAGGTGGATACCGAAGTGGCAAAAAGCCATTACCTAGTGAACCACCTTATACCGCATTTGTGGGAAATTTGCCACATGGAGTTGTACAAGGAGATATTTGCAAAATTTTTTCAAACCTTAAAGTTAAAGGAGTCAGACTGGTGAAAGATAAAGAAACTGATAGGTTTGTATAACTGTAATAGTATATTATATGAATTAGTTACAGTTATTCCGTAAGTAAGAAAAACATCGTTATATGATTTTATTTTGTTTTTAGGTTTAAGGGTTTTTGTTATGTTGAGTTTGAAGATTTGACAGACTTAGAAACTGCAATGAAAATGGATGGCTTAGTACAAGTAGAACAAAATTTTATTAAAATAGATGTAGCAGATGGAAAGAGAAATGAGAGAGGAGGTGGTTTTGACAGACGAAACCGTACCGGTGGTGGAGGTGGAGGAGGATATAGAGGAAGAGATGGTCCCCGTGGTGGATATGGAGATGATCTCGGTAGCAAATCTATGTATTCCAGTAAGCGTTATGCTTGCCATAACGTGTATCTTAAATAATTTAAGTTCATGTATATAGCATTAATGCGACAGTCTATTACTAAAAAAGAAAATTCTATGTAATGATTACAGGAAGCTATGTAGGTCAGAGTCACGGTGCTAGCAGACAAGGTACTACTTGGGATATGAAGGGTGGTAGCCGGGGCAACTTTAATCAACTTAACGATGATGCAGGAAGTGGAAGTCGGGAATGGTCTCGTAACACGTCATCTAGAATGTATGGTAACAGACCACCACCGCCTGCCCGCGGAGGACCTGGAATGGAACGAAAACCATTTCATGATGAACCAGCATATAAAGATCCACCTCCAGGTTCGTCTATGTACCAAATATTTTACTGTAATATGTAAATAATTTCTAAATTACCAAATTGACGTTAACATTGTCATTACAGCTGACACAGCTGGGAGGAAACGCTTGGTACTAGCACCAAGGACAATACCAGATCCCATAAATGCGATTGCTGAATCAAGTAAATCAAGTTCAATTTATGGCGGTGCAAAACCCCGGGAGGAGAAAATGAGTACTGATGATAAGTAAACACATTATCATCATCATCATTAGTTTCTAATTCCCTAATTTCAGGGAAATGAACTTTCCCAACATAAAAAAAATTTGGAAATCCATGCAAGACACCTTCGTTTCCTCAATTGTAATGGGGAGAATCTCTTCAGAGATAGAATGAAATTGTCATAATTTTTATTTACCCCTAAGGGGACGTCTTCCCCACAAATACATAATTATAAAAAGTGATTTACTGAGATTTTTAAGTTTTATGCAGTTGGCATTTTTAATTGATAATAAAATTTTCTCGCCTAGTGCCCTCTCTATTTACATTAACTTCTTAATTTAAAAACAGAGAATGTAGTAATAAATTGAGAATTTAAAGTAAAAATTGTGTGCACATGCATACTCCAATATAACGTTGGTTATGTGTAATTATATACATATAAATATAATTAATCGCATCACGTATGTATATACATGTATGCACGCGTGCGCGCACATACAGACATTCGTATTATATGTGTATATATGTACATGTATACGTGAATCATGATTTTCATACGGAAAGTATAATATGTATTTTAATATTCATGTCAATTTCATGTTGGGTGTTGTATCGGTTTATAATAATATTGAGGGTATGTGTACAAATCATTGCAAATATATGCTATCACCGTACGTATATTTGATTTCGTGAAAAAAAAGAGAAACTAATTCTAAAAACTATTGTACTCTAGAATAATTTTTATCTCAATGAGTACAAAACTTTGTCCTTGGTTTCATTTCCTTCCTTACAATTTTTACTTTACAATTTAAACCAATCATTGTATGCTTACTAAAACGAATAATGAATAATTGTTTAATATGAGAGATCAATGAAATATAAAAATATTAAACAATTATTTACACGCTTGTGAGGTACTGATAAACAATTGCAAGAAATAAAAGGTATTTGAGTGTTTGGAAGAATTATACATCAGTGAATGCGTATGAGAATAATGTGTCGATTATTACGCAATAATATTGTGTAACAAATTAACTATACTAGTATAAAGGATATCGATCATTTGAAAGAGTATCGATGATTATAAGATAATACAGGAATATTTGAATTAACGATAAATATATTATATAAAACTAAGCTTGTATATGACACTATTTCTTGAATAAAGTAGTTGTTTGCCTTGTATTCGTGTAATACATCATCGTTAGACTAAGTGATAGAAAATAAAATAAAACTTATGTAAACAATATATGTAAGATTCTCTATACACATATATTTTGTAAGTTAACTCTTATTAAATATATTGAAAAGTTGTATTTAAATGAAACATCTTTGTAATACAATTAATATAATTTAACAACCCTGTATATATGGAAGCAAGAAAAGAAACTTATTATTTTCTAGTTTATAATATATAACTATCTGCTTTATTTGTTAGGGGATGGTAGAGTCATTGAGCTCTATGACAGCTCATTGGGTAGAATAGATGTGAAAACGTATATTTCGTAGATTCAAGATAATCTAATCTAATTAGAATTATAAAATACAAGATATAAAGAATTTCATTATAGAGAAGCAACATTATATCACGTTTATATGCATTCTAATTATAGTACTCTTTTTGTAGAATACCAAAGTTATTTCAATGGCCACGCCTAAATTTCTCTCGTATTAAAGCGCCTCCCCACCCTTTCTTTTTCATTTTTACACAGTAGTTCCAATAGTTCCAATATCTTTTCCTGTACAGTCAGCGCAATATCTTTATTATCTTCCATTTTTGCTCGATGTATCTACCATTATAGTTTACTTGTTAAACATTAGTGTAGCTCTACTTATCGTGACAATAATAGAAAAGTTACGAATAGAATAACAAATTCAGATAACCTATTATTCATTTCATTCAGCAAATAACATGTTAAGACAGGCGGTAATCTCGTATTCTGTCACAATACGGCGCCTGTTAGCTTGAAATTTGTTTTCGGGTCGTTCTCAGTTCTCGGTAACGTCTAAAGACGCCACGCAGTCACGTCAAGTTCCTCTTAATTTTCGATCGAATTATTGCGAAAAAATGTCTAGTGAAAGCGTGAAAACGGTAGGTATCAATTAATATTTATGAACTATAAATGAAACTATTTCGATATTGTTTTTCCGATATGTTGGTTAAATATCATTTAATATTTTTTTACAGCGTACGTGTATAAAAGACAAATTTAAATGTAATTTTTATATCTTATGTTTCAGTTTGCTAGCCTTGAAACTCCTGGATATGTGGGATTTGCAAACCTACCTAATCAAGTACATAGAAAATCAGTGAAAAAAGGATTTGAATTTACACTTATGGTTGTCGGAGAATCTGGTCTTGGGAAATCTACATTAGTCAATAGTTTATTTCTTACAGATTTATACCCAGAACGTGTTATTCCTGATGCTATAGGTAAACTAAGCTTCATTTACATATCTATATGGCTCATATATTATAATTAACAATATCATTATCATTTGAACAGAAAAAACTAATCAAACAGTTAAACTCGATGCATCTACTGTGGAGATTGAAGAAAGAGGTGTTAAGCTTAGATTGACTGTTGTTGATACTCCCGGTTATGGAGATGCGATTGACAATACAGACAGTTTTAGAGCTATTATACAGTACATAGATGATCAATTTGAAAGATTTTTACGTGATGAAAGTGGTTTAAATAGAAGAAATATAGTAGACAATAGAATACACTGCTGTTTCTACTTTATCTCACCATTTGGACACGGGTAAGTTACATTAATTATAATTTTATAACGTGAGAGAAATATAAATATTTTTAACATCTGTACTCTTTGTCAGATTGAAACCTCTAGACATAGAATTTATGAAGCAACTCCATAATAAAGTTAACATTGTGCCTGTAATTGCAAAAGCTGATGTACTTACAAAGAAGGAAGTGTTACGTCTGAAAAAACGAGTTATGGAAGAAATCGAGGGTAGTGGTATAAAGATCTATCCTTTACCAGATTGTGACAGTGACGAAGATGAAGATTATAAGGAACAAGTAAGACAACTGAAGGAGGCTGTTCCATTTGCTGTATGTGGAGCAAATACTTTATTAGAAGTTAAGGGGAGAAAAGTACGCGGACGATTATATCCATGGGGAGTAGTAGAAGTTGAAAATCCTGACCATTGTGATTTTATTAAATTAAGGACAATGCTGATGTACGTAGCATTTAACATGCTTATTTAAACCGATTTAGTACAATTTGTAATAAGATTTTACTATATATTATTCATATCTTTATAGCACACACATGCAGGATTTGCAAGAAGTGACCCAAGATGTACATTATGAAAATTACCGTAGTGAAAGATTAGCGAAAGGAGCTCCTGTACCGCCTCGAAGACAGCCGTAAGCAATGTGACATGATTATCAGAAAATGTTTGAGGCATATTATTAATTCACTTCTTACCAATAGCGTTCCAGAATCCGAGAGAACCAATTCTGTGTCAGAAAAGGATCGTATTTTGCAAGAAAAGGAAGCAGAACTGCGACGAATGCAGGAACTTGTGGCAGTGATGCAAGCTCAAATGCAACAGCAACAACCTTAATTATGTACGTCCTGAGCACAAATGATGTGCGAAGAGAAATATATTCTTCGCCATTACAGGTGCCAAAAAGTATATTGAATAGCTACCATGCTACTCAAAACTAATTCCAAAAGAAGTTATTATTACGTTTAAGAATTCATTTTCTACGAGCGTATTTGTAAAACATACGTTCTTTATTTACTAGTTTCGATTTAATACAATGGATCGTAAGCAAAATTATTCAATGTCTTACTAAAATTTCGAGTAATAATATAAGAGATTAATAATACAGGAAATTCCATACAAATCAGTTACATTTGACAACCAATTTGTAATGCTACGACATAGAAAAGTGTGATAAGTGCCTTGCATATTCATTTTTGAAAGAACAATTTATAGTCTTAATTTCTAAAATACAGATGTCAAAAATAGGACAATTCATATTTTATGAACTATGACGTGGTAGTGAAATAGAGAGTACATGACATTTTACGTAAATAATATAAATTTTTGGAAGCACACAATTTGCATATCGTCTAATGTCTAATATATATTTTTTTATACAAAAGGTCTTAAGACTGCCAATAATCAAACTTCCTAATCATTTGGACTAATCAGAAACCAAAAATTTATTTTTTTCTGTGATAAGCAGTGTTAGATAGAAAACGTAATTTCGTTTATGCTTTTGCAATATGTAAAGTATTATACTCAAATGGCATTTATATTTTACTTTTACTTAATAGTATATATTATTAGTTCTCATTTAATCTATTCTACGATTTGCATTCAGGAAAAGACTTACGCAAATTAATTAATACTAATAATTGATCGAGATTGAAAAAGGAAAAGAGATTCGTAAGTGAAATGAATATCTATGTGTTGCGTGAATTTATTTCTTAAATATTGTACTTATTTGTACGCATATTCTACATTATGACGTCCTCGCGCTTTTATATGTATTGTACAGGTATACTCAGAATATGTTTTATACTCTTTTATACAAATATACCTGCTATAAATAATAACATTATTGCCTAAGACCTGTTCATATAGTAGTCTATTGCCGTCGAAAACGCTGCAAAACCTGCTGCTCCAATTAAACCCGCTTTTATACCAGCTGTGAACATAAAGTTATATCTCAGGATTGAAATGTTCATAAACTCCAATTTAAACGTCATAAAGAATTGTACCTCTTAGCCCTATCATTCCACCTGTTAAACCACCAGCATATGTGCCATTCTTCCAATCACTTTTCCCTCTATACTGGAGTTAAATTGTAAGATAATACATTATATTCTATACAGCTGGATATCAGTTATGAAGCTTAAAGGAATATTACCGATTCTATTGTGCATTCGATTGCTGTAAATACACAACCAAGTACAGCGAAATTCTTTGCATAACCCAATGTTGTGATTTTCATTTCCCTAAATACTTCACGGACACTCTGTTGTTTCTCAACAGCAGCCACATTTGGATTCACACTGGACGTAAATAAACCAATCGCAGCTCCTAAGCCATATCCTAAAAATCTAATTTGTTTTTAGTTGGTTCATGATGCAAATGATACCTCTTATTTTAAGTAATAGTGTTAACATACCTATAACACAACTGGCAATACTCTTAAAGGCACAACTTTCCATTATACTTTCTATTAATTTTTCTTCATTAGTTTTCAATTGCACAGGACCTACAGTCCTTGGAAGTATAATATTTTCTCTGAACCTTTGCTGAGTGCTGGTTAAATAAAGGGCTATATTATCTAAATCCTTATTATTTATGCTTGCTTTTGCACTTGTTTCTGACAGTGAAGGACTCATATTAGACATTTTTATGACAAATGTTTAGAGCTATTATAGAAAAAACAAAACACTTTGATAAATATTTAAATACTTTAATTAAAATATCATTGTTATGTATTTTATTTTAACCTCTATATGATTGCAGTTTTTCATAAACTCATGAATTTCAGGTATGTTAAAGGGCAATCGTAATATTTCCAATAATTATTGTAACACCATAAGTGACGTTAAATTTGGAATACACAATATAAATACAATTTCCTTCAGTACCTTCAGTACTAAATTTTCTCTTTGTTATTATAGTAGAGATCGCGCGTGTATATTCATCATGCATATTTCATGCAATTTCATGTCTGTCGCGGTGGCGATCGTGACGATAGGCCGCAGGGCGATTGCGCTCATACATAACTACCGCACGAAAATTTAAAATTACGTCGCTTTCAGCTGTACTGTTTGGAATTTATTATACATTAGAAAGAAACACAAGATGCGCATAATATGTAAAGTACAATACAATTTATCAATCAATCGTTTTCGAGAATTGATCTATTAGTTCTGCATTTGTGTACAAATCACGAAATTCCGAGCGTGAGCACTCTCATTTGTGACACTGAACCTGAGATATACAATAAATATACTTATATATG